CCTCCCAGGTGAAAATATGGTTTCAGAATAAAAGATCCAAGATCAAGAAGATCATGAAGAATGGGGAGATGCCTCCAGAGCACAGCCCCAGCTCCAGCGACCCCATGGCCTGCAACTCTCCACAGTCGCCTGCGGTTTGGGAACCTCAGGGCTCCTCCCGCTCACTCAGCCACCATGCCCACACACACACTCACCCTTCAAACTCCAACCCATCCCCTGCATCCAGCTACCTGGAGAGCTCCGCTTCCTGGTACCCCGCTGCCAACTCCATCAACTCACACCTCCAACCCCACGGCTCCCTACAGCACCCGTTAGCCCTGGCTTCTGGGACAATTTATTAGGGTCTGACTTTTTTTTTTTTTTTTTTTTTTTTTTTGTTCCTTGGACTCCTGTGTTTTACTGTTAAGGAATAATAATGAAAGGAATGCATATGGGGGATTTTTAAAAGGGAAAAGAAACAAAAAGATTTAAATGTGTAAAGCTTGTGCATGTAACTTATTGCATTTCAAAGGAAACCCTTTTTTATACAATACGGACATTTTTTGGCTCAGCTGTGGACACTGTCAATGGTGCCTTGAAATCTATGACCTCAACTTTTCCAGAGACTTTTTTTCAATGTTATTTTAACCCTGTAAATAATTGTAGATAGAGGAATTAAACTGTATATTCTGAATAAAATAAAATTATTTCGACCACGAGAAACGTTTCAAAATTACCCCTTCTTCTGTTAATAAGAGGGAAAATAATGCCGATTTGCTTTGCAGAGAGCAAGCGAGGAAAGAGCGATTTTGAGGGGCCCGATCCTGGGGCGCTCCCGTTCGGTCGCCGCACCGTGCCACTGCAGCCGGGCGTGTTGGCAGGATCCAACCCTCGTAGGTGCCCACGGGCGAGCCGGGGGGCGGCGATGCTCTCTTCCCGCTGGAGAAGACCCGCGCACACTTAACCGCACAGCGATTTTAAGGTGATCGGAAGGCTGCCCATCCTAACGCTAGAAAGCAAATCTCTCACCTTAAGCCGCCCTGAATCCGTTCCCGAGAGCAATTAGCGTCGAGAGCTGCGCACTCCACAGCCCATCAATCGCCCATGTGCGCTCGGCTAATTACACAAATTATATTGCCGTCAAAGGGAGCCACTAAATATGAGAAAAGGATAGAATGAGAGCCCCGTTCCCCTTGCTACTGGTAAAAGCCTGCGGCGGCTCTGGCTGAAGGAGGGACTTCGCGGAGGTACTCTTTTTTTTTT